CGGCAGAGCTGTCGCAGCAGAGTTAAAAACAGAATATTTTACAGAAACAGATTAAAAATAAGTCTCAGCGTTCCGCTGCGGAAGGGTTTGTATCGGCAGAGCGACGTCCTGAAGGGGTTCAGTGAAAAACAGGTAGAGCTGACCCCAAAAACGGGCGTGTTTTGGTAGCAGGAGTTTTTTTGTGTGTTTTTGTAGTGGCCACGGGTAGCTTCCGCTCCTAAGTAATCCTAGAATGAATGCAGCGTTGAATTAGTAAAAAACTTGTAAATTTTATAGTCTTCTTGTAATATCTGTTTATTAGTATGGATTAATTTTTTTAAAACATTGCTAAATCACACGGCGGGCGGGTAGTAGCTTTTAATCTGCTCATTTACTCTCCTTGCAGGCCACAGCAAGCCCGTACCGGCCAGGAGCGCAGCGCGCAGAGTGATCGTGCACATCGACTTGGACTGCTTTTACGCCCAAGTAGAAATGATCCGTAATCCCGAATTACGAGACAAGCCTTTAGGTATGAGTTACCTTCCTCTTAATCCGGGGATGATGTGTGTTCAGGCAAGAGAAACTCGGGACGTGCCTGCGCGGTGAGCTGGAGGCCGGCGGGCCGGAGCCGTAGGTATGAGTTACCTTCCTCTTAATCCGGGGATGATGTGTGTTCAGGCAAGAGAAACTCGGGACGTGCCTGCGCGGTGAGCTGGAGGCCGCCGCGCCGGAGCCGCGACCGCATCGAGAGCGAGCAAGGGGCAGCCCAGGCTGCGTGCGACGGCAAGATTAGAAACTCCTCTTGGCACAGAGGCACTCGCCGACGTGTCTGAGCAGTTTCTGTCGTGCGTGGGCATAGGGAGGGCCGAGCTCCCCAGGTGAGCCGGGGCCTTCTGGCAGAGTCACGCTCAAAGCGTGCCTCGCTCCGTCCAGAAGCAAGGAATGAACGCGCGGCGGTCGGTCATGGCTGTGATCCGTGGGGAAGGCACAGCGTAAAATGGTACGTAAAGAGCGCTTTCACGGGTAAGATTGCCTAAAAAGGCCCAAAAGTACGGGTGATATTACAGTGGGAAAAAATACCTATAAGGTTTTAAAGTCTTCTTATCATCCAGTAACCAAAATCAAGAGATCTGTCCTCATAGTCTTGCACAAGACTGCTGGGTTGGTTCAGCGATGCTGCGTTCCGAGGAAAGCTTGTGCTCCACAGTCTTTGCAGTGGCACGAAAGTAGCGTGGTTTTCCGTCAAGTACCAAGAAACCTAAACTTTAAAACGCATTTGACCTTTATTTTCAGGTGTGCAGCAGAAATACCTCGTAGTTACCTGTAACTATGAAGCCAGGAAACTGGGAGTGAAGAAACTGATGTCTGTGAAGGATGCTAAGGAGAGGTGCCCTCAGCTGACACTGGTTAATGGAGAAGATCTCACTCCATACAGGGAAATGTCGTACCAGGTTACAGGTACAGAATTGGCAGTATCTCATAATTAAATGTTACTCTCGTTGATTGTCACTGATTACTGCTTTTATCATCAGCACTGTTAGCAGGTGAAATAGTAATAACTCAAAAGCGAAAGCCCACCTAGCTGGGAAACAGATTTCCTTAGGAGGAAGTACTGCAGAGGTTAAGAACTGTAACTTCAAAAAGAAATGAGGAAAGAAAGAAGAGATTTGGGGAGAAGAAAAGCAAAAGATGACAGAGGTAGTGGTGGGATGAAGAAATATTCCTCCTCTTCACCTTTGCTAAATAAGTGCCTTCTCCATAGGAACTCAGCTGTGGATTGATGCAAACGTCAAAATCTCAGAGTATTAGTTGCGTGCATATTATCCTTGGGTATCTTTTTCCTCCTAGAGTTGTTGGGGGAATTCAGTCCACTGGTGGAAAGGCTTGGGTTTGATGAAAATTTCGTGGATATCACAGAGATGGTCGAGAAAAGACTAAACCAGCTCCAGCAAAGTGGATGCTGCAGAGTCTGTGTGTCTGGCCATGTGTACAAGCACCAAGGTGAGTGAAACATTCTCCACGTTGAAAACTACGGTAAACGTTTGTGAAGGTCCGTGCAAAGTATCTGTCTTCTTCTGAGTATTGTCCAGAGCTGAACAGCTGGCAGCCTGGGTTGCTCCGTGCTTGGCTGCTGTGTTAGAAGAGTACGCGTATCGCAAACGTGAATCAGCGTTCTAATTAAACAGTACTGAAAATAAATCTCAGTGGTAGATAAGCATGTACAGTGATTTGGGAGAACAGATTTTCATTGTCCTTTATTTTTTTTTCTTTAGAGTACTTTTACTGTACTAAGACACAGAATTTTCTTTGAGCTTGAATGTTTGGCAAAACTGAATGAGTTTTTCAACGAATGAAAACAAAAACAACGTTGCTGTAGCCATTAGGTCAGGAATAGACTTACTGAGACCGAAGCAGCTGACTGAGCTGCTTCATCCATCATCAAACGTGAACACAGTAGCTATGCTGTGCTGCCCATGTTGTGCACTGGGAAGGAGAGCAGTTGGGTTTTCTTCTGGACTTTGAGCTATTGCGATGGCTTTGAATATGGCTCGGAGAGGAGGGAAATGCCTGCACAGCCCTTTTCCTCACTTGGCATTTGCGTGTGAGTAATAAAGGCTTTTCTGCAAGGCAGCCCTCCAGTAAAGATTTGTGAATCTCTACTTTCGTTACATCACTACAAGAGTCTGTCATATTTAACACTTTTCTCTGATACTGTATTTTATATTTAAAACACTCCCTAAACATTATGCTTCCTGGACAGTATGCCCCTGGTTTTGGACAGCAGCAGTCTCCCTTTTACCAGGGTTTTTGGGAGGTAGCAGCGAGGTTAAACTTGGATACAGAAGCTGTGGCAATACCACTTGACCCATGAGACCGTACCTTCTTGTACTGCTCTAAAGCAATGTAAAAAACACCTAAATCTAAAGAATTAGCTAACTAGGCGACCGTTTACATACTGAACACTGCTTTCTTTTTCCTTTGCAGCTATCAATTTGCATGACACAGCGCATGTAAGACTAGTTATTGGATCTCAGATTGCAGAAGAGTTCAGGGAAGCCATATACACGAGACTGGGCCTCACAGGCTGTGCGGGAGTGGCCTCTAACAAACTGCTCTCTAAACTGGTATCTGGGACCTTTAAGCCAAATCAGCAAACGGTTCTTCTGCCTGAAAGCAGTCAAGATCTCATCCGCAGCCTTGAGCACATCCAAAAAGTGCCTGGTAAGCAGGGTTCTATGAGCATAGACAAGGAGAGCACACTGACACTCTTAAGATAAGAAAAATTACTGAAAAAATTCTAGCTGACAATTTTAAAATCTTGATCTCGCAGGCAGGCAGTGGGGTGTGCAGGTATGTGTTGAGGGTGTGCTTTTTTATCATAAATTGAGTTTTGTTTAGCAGAAGGAATTAAAGGACTTTGGTTTTCTTAATTTTCGGTTGACAGAAATGTGTTGCAACAGTCTACAAGATACCTTCAAAAATACTAAACTCTCAGTTTAATCTTATAGAAGTCCAAACATTGTGGTTGATACTAGGTTTTAAATATAAACTTTTCTAAACTTGCTGATTGCAAACCTACTGACAGTTATTAAAACAGCCTACTGGAACCCGACAGAATACTCTGAGGAAATACTTCTCCTAATTATTCTACACTGACACTGTGCTGTTGGCCAGGAAGCGCTGTTGTAGGCTTACAGGCAGATCTTTGCGGTGTCCCAGGATGGCTTTTCTAATGGCAGAGTCTAAAACTCCAAGAGAAACTGACCAAAAGTGTTACCAAAACATCTGCACTGCAGTAGTGAAAGTGTTAGTACTATGTGGGTGGGCACTTTTTATATATATATATACATATATATGTGTATATATATTCAGTTTTCTGTGTATTTTTACTACACATTTTGTTTAGGCATTGGCTACAAAACAACCAAACATCTTGAAAGGCTGGGTGTTAGGAACGTGTGTGAGCTCCAGGCATTTCCGTCTGCTGTGTTAGAGAAGGAACTAGGGGTTTCTGTTGCTCAGCGTATCCAAAAACTCAGCTACGGAGAAGATGACTCCCCTGTGACTCCGTCAGGCCCTCCTCAGGTACAAGTATTGTACCGAAATACTTTTTATAAAGAGCAAGAAAAATGGCTTTTAGTTTTATGCAGCTTTGCTGGACTAACCAAAACAGTGCACTCTTGTATGTATTCTCTAGTACAACTCTAAAGTATAATTCTCCTGAAATTCAGCTGAGCTCTGAGTGTCAAAGATATCTTGGTGTTAATTCTACACACTTAATTGTGATACTTCCTCTTCAGAATTTTGAAGTAACTATAAAACTGAAAGGACTAATGGGTTTTTTTAGTCCTTTAGTGATGAAGATTCCTTCAAAAAATGTTCATCAGAAGCGGAAGTTAAAGAGAAAATTGAAGAACTGCTTCCTAACCTCTTAGACAGGTGACTGTCCTCAGTAGCTCTTTTTGATCCCTGAAATTGTGGCCTGAAGGGACTTGGAGCGTATGTTAGGTTTGTCTCGTACTCTACACTTCTTCTCTCAACAAAATGCATTTATAGCAACAGCACCTGCATGTCCAGCTTCCACTTTGGTCTTCGACTGTTTGTGGACTGTCCTGCTGTATTGCCCCTTTCCTCTTGCCCTGTCTCTTGGCTTTCCCCTAGCCCTTCCACTCCTATGCAGCTTCTCTGATAAAGATCTTTGCATGTTCCATTTGCTGATCCCTGTTGCTTTGGTTGCACATCACAGTATTTAGTGCATCTTCACGCATCTCTGTGAAGGATCCTAGGTTTTCCTTCTCTTTCCGTAAGTGACTTTCTATTTTCAGACCCTTGGAGATCACCATTTATGCATGTCTGCTGTTCCACAGCTTATTTTTCTGTCAGTCTGAAAGAACATTTTCATTTCTTCCTCCTTCCCCTGCCTTGTGAATCCAGGCAGTATCCAAGCCCAAGATACTTGAGAAAAACACCAGCACAGCAGGAGGATGCATTTACTCATGTCTTGACTACTGTGACTTTCCTATCCTCCCTTTCTCTCCTATGATTTTCTTTACTTAATAAAAAGTAATGAAAAGGAGTAATATTCTAGCAGCAGTGAACTGTGTTTCCTATTCTGCCATGCTTCAGCTTCTGATTTTTGAAAGCCTCTTTGCATCAGCCCTGAATAGCCTTTGTGTCCTCTGTTAGTTCTTGATTATTTTTTTCCTCTAAGTATTTTCATATTCTCTGCATGCCTCTCCAAGCCCTAACATAACCTAGAAGTCTTAAGGTTTTCTGTCCCCACGTCTATGTAAGTCTCACGATAGATATATCCATATTAGTTATATTAACATTGTGGGCAAGCAGTATTTCGTCTGCATCTCAGACATTGCTCGGTTATCACGAAAGTGAGACTGTGTGTCCTATCTTGTTTACAACTTGTAGAACTGAGAAATTTAGGGAAAACACCTTCCCCAATGGCTTTGGAGAGGGAAACAAACAATTGCATACTTTGTTTCTTACCACTCTTCCAAAAGCCAGCTAACCTTTTGCTGCGAAAGTGGGGATGTTTCCTTGAAAGGCAAAAAGAGCAGCTAAAAGCTTAGGATTATACAGGATGTAACTACAAAGACTATACTACTTTTAATATATTAAACATTGAAACGTGGCAGTATTGCAGACCGACCCACTTAATTTTCCCCTTCAGTTCAGCGGAAGACTCTTGGAATTGTATTGAACTTCTAACTTATGGGTAATTAAGGGAACCAGCTAGGACCCAAAATTCCCTGTATCATCAGCAGAGTAAAGCCTGAATTCGGGAGAGATCTGTAACGCTCAGTTTGACTGTCTAACCTCGGTGCTGTGACAGTTTGCACAGACCCTCTGAGAAATGCTTGTAGTAATGCTTATTGCTGCATGCACATTCACGCTCCGTAGGATACACAAAGATGGAAGACGACCACACACAGTAAGACTGACCATTCGCCAGTTCTCCCCAACCGATAAATGGTTTAACCGGGAAAGTCGCCAGTGTCCTGTTCCACCTCAGCTCATCCAGAAATTTGGAAAAGGTAAACTAAGAATTTTTGAAAGTATCAGCTCTGTGCTGCTGCCACCTTGCTTCTCTGTAAAAC